ATTTAATCTTGTCGGTTGTATATGTGGTTTTAGTAATGATAATTATAATAAGTAGCATTTGTAACACGAATAAGTGTCATGATACCGTGGAATTAGGCGCTCGTCAATTTTTGGGCATGTGGAGCTATTGGTATCATATTAAAACTTGTTCATTTGCCTTTCTTTCAATGAAAAAAATACCTATTTATCTTGAACAGAAGTCAAGATATTTGTGACTGTAGGAGGTGGGGTTTGCCTGGTTTCAGAGGTAAAATTAGCTAGAAAATGACCGACAAGGTTTGGTGACTTTGGAAGCTTGAGAGTCCTTTGATAAACAGATTTCAATAAAATCTACACAGGAATGAGTTTTTAAATGGGCACAAAAAGTGTTGATCCAAAAAAAAACCCAAAACAACAAAAACACCCCCCCCCCCAAAATCAATAAAAATCACCCAAAGAGAGGGGAAAATGCCGATAGTATCGATTTCATTATTTTAAGGAGCGCCTGATTTCACTACGATACCTCACGACGTGTACTTGAAGAAAACCGTTTCTATTTTCCTTTCCCCAGCCACACCTTCCCCAGTTTGTAACGCTGTGTTCAGAGCAACATATGATGCTGGCTCACGACAAGTCCTCAGCGAACGCCAGCTTACAGCCCTCGATGTGTACTCCGACATCCAGGAAGCAACACTCACCAACAACGCTTTGAACTTTGAAGCTAACATGAACAGCCCTTACCTGTACTACTATCGTTTCATCGATAACGAATTCCCACTCAACACTGCTTTCAGGCTTCGTTACCGATTCCGAGTAAGACACATTTTCTTTGTTTTATAACTGTATAATTCACAAAAATCTGCTCATATGTCGGTTGTCTGCACGCTTCTATCTAAACATTGTAGTATTGGCAGCAATACAGACCTTACTTTTTCAGGGATATTCTATGACAAATTCGTCATCCTGAAATAATTTTAAACAACAAAAGAAAAAAAAAATCAAAAAAAAAGAAAAAAAAGAGTTGTCAATTATGAAAAAGTCTGTTCTAACGTCAATACGTCCAGTTATCAATTTGGCTTTGGGGGAGGCAATTGCCCAGCCTGATGATATTTCAATCCTGTTATCGTTTCTGTTTGGCCGATTTTATTTCGTCAGAACGGTAACAATGATCACAGCTGTACAAGTTGTTTCCTCCTTTAAAAAAAGAAGAAAGCTAGGTTCAAAATCTTTATATTCTTTTTTCCATCAATCAGTATTCACTATTTTGAGCTCTCAACCCGCTCCCAAATAAAGCAAAACAAAGCAAAACAAAATAAAATAAAAACAATAGTAAAATTACTATAACGTCTTGCAAAGTGAAACAAATGGCTTATATAAAAGCAACGATTCATTTTTTGACCCCCAGGGAAACAGCAACGGCCAAAGCTACAGTCTGTTGTCCAATAACTTCTGCCCCATCTGCCCTGAGACCATCAGTATCACAGTCACTCCAAGAGGTGCCAGTCAGCAGGAAGTCAGAGCCTCCTTCATGACCACTGCAGGAGTTGAGGTTGCCACTTCCGCCACCATCAGCAATATCTTTGTAAGTGTAGCGTCCTTGTTCCGGCCTGTGCAGCCTTTCTACTGCTACTCCTTGGCTCTCTCTTACTGCTGTCTTTCAACCACACCCCTGATCTTCTGGTAGGAAAGATCTACGCTTAACCTTCTCGGACAAGGGTGACAAATCTCGGAGGTCCCGTGTGCAAGATGAGCACGTTAAAGACCCCTTGGTGGTCCAAAATCGATCAGAGTAGGATTCGGCCGCCACCCAGGGAAAAAATCAAATTTTCCACCACTTGAAAATGTTTGGTGTGTCTCGGGCGCTCATATGACCTTATGCAGTTGCGAGTGCCGTAAAACACTTACCCCCCCAAAAAAAAAATTGTTTTGTTTTGGG